GGAGGCGGGGGAGGTGGGGGAGGTGGTGGAGGCGGGGGGGTGGTGGTGGGGAGCGAGGTGGAGCAGGACGCGGAGGGGGAGGACGTGGCGGAGCGGGTGTGCCGTCAGGATGCTATGACTGGTCGCAGGTGGCGGTGGTGAGGTGATGCTGCAAAGCAGGTTTTGCCTTCAGCCGACTCCGTGACGCTGGACGGGGAGCGTGTGCTGACTGGGACGGCTGACGTGGCGGCTGACGTGGCGGCTGAGCTGTCGGCGAACCCAGAGGAAATACTGGCGTGGCGTTCACGGGCGTGGGGTGACGCGGATGGATACTGCCGTTCGCCACCACCACCACTTTGCACCGCGTCTCGCAGGCATGCCCTCCGCGTGGGGTGACCCGGATGGATATTAAGTATCGTTCACCACCACTTTGCACCCCGAGCATGCAAGCGGGGATGAGGGAGGTGGTCCGCAGCTGCTGCATCGACACCTGGCACTGCCTCGTGGCAAGGAGCAGGTGGAGGGGATGGCTTGGGGAGATGGGCCAGGTGTGGGCGTGACATGCCTCAGTGGAGTTGGCGTGAGAAAGTCAAGGGGTGCGAGTGAGGAGGCAGGTGGGACTGAGTGAGTGCGAGTGGGAGGAGATCAGAAGTTGGGCTGGGGATGCTTTGTGCATGGTTGATGCACACTTGAGGAGCAGACACGTCGCGATTGGAGTGCATCATCACGTGCTCCACGTGCCATTATGCCTCACGTGGCATTCCGCAGCAACGGGTGGGACATACGCGATTGCCATTCGGGTGCAAGTCTCACGGGCCTGGCCGTGGCGGTTAGGAGGGGGAGGCAGCTGGAGAGAAGCGGGACTGCGATGGGTGAGGCTGATGCTGGCTTGTGCGTGCTTCCATCTGCCCCCACCTTTGCCGTGCAGGCTTTTTATACGCCTTTGTTCAGGCTGGGCCACCCTCACCTCAGGTCGTACTTCCTAGCAGAGGGCCGCGGCGTTTGAGCGGGATGCAGCAAGGCAATGGTAGGCAAGGCAAGGGGAGTCGAGTGGGATGTGGCAGCACTGTCGCCCTGCGTCACCGCAATGGTGAGGAATAGAAACAACAGGAAGCTGCAGGTAGCTTTGACGACTGCAGCATGCTTCTCTTAGTCCCATCTCTCGTCTTCCATCCATTGCTGCCTTCTGATCATGACCCCTCTTTGCACCTCCGCCTATCCGTGCCTAATTTTTTGCCAGAAAGCGAGCGTTCTTTCTCCATGCGCAATGCCATCAGCCCCTTTCCCCTTTTCACAACCGGCCCCCCTCTCCCCCCACCCCCCACCCACCACCCTCACTCCCCCTCCCAAGGGTTCCCTTGCTGCAGTAATGCAGTGGTCTCACTGCTGCATTTGCCGTGGGTGAAGGCACCGCTGCGGTGAGCCATTGGCATTACCAGGTTTAATGCGCGTGACGTCGCAGCTGACGGCAGCAGGGCGAGGATGATGGTGCCAACCAATTAAGAGGTGAGAGAAGCCGAGTTGGATTGAGGGAAGGCATTGCTGCGGTGTGCCACTGGCAGTGCTGGGTGGAATGCACGCGGTGTCTCAGCTGACGACACCAGGGCGAGGATGGTGCCAGCCAACGCAGAGATGAGAGAAGGCGAGAAGAATACAGGCACCTTCGCCAGCGGTGGAGCGATTGGAATTGTTCTCTATCCTCCCTGCCCTTGCAGCCCGTGTTTCACTCGGTATGGCATTTCTGGCGCTAGGTGCAATGCATCTAATCGCTTCTTTCCCATGTGCCGTGCCGTCAGCTCTCTTCCACCTCTGCCCTTCTCGCTCTGGAGATGCCCCCAACCTCCCTCGCCCTCTTCCTCCCAACCCCTTCCCCTTCCTTCACCAACTCCACCCTGCCTTTGTGCGCTGCCCGCTATTCATTTCATGCTGGTCGTGGAAGGCGTCAGGCTTTATAAAGAAAGATACAATGCTGCTACATGACATCATTACAAGAAAGGGGAAGCGAGTAGGGAGGAGGAGGGGAAGTCCTCTTCCTCCCCACCCTCCTCCCCATTCCCCCACCTTTCCTGCCCCCATATTTTGATTCAGCATGGCCAGTCAGCCAACCTGCCCTTTTACATGCTATAAACTTGGGAGAGTCGAACAGAATGGGGTTCAAGTCAACCCAACCCTGTTCACTGAGAAGTGATGCTGAGGGCCCTACCACATGTGCTGACCCAGTGCGGCATTTCAAGTGTAGCTGTCAGAAACGCATTGTGCTCATTCTTTTCACAAATTTGTTCCATGCACAGGTTCACATGCTGTACTCGGTTGTGGCCCCTCTGACTCTACCCCTCTGATGGATGGGTGCTTGTACCGCACAAGCCAGCGCGTGGCTGCATCAGCATGCCTTGGCTGTCAAGGCGAGGCTGATGTAGCTGAAAATGTCAGCCGCATCATTCATGGTATAGCTCTCACAAGAATCTCAAGAACCTTCGCATTTTCATCCCTCTCACCCTACTTTAACTGGGAGGCGAGACGAGCGAGGTTACTTCTAGTAGTCATCGTGAAGACCAGGGCCTCCTTCTGCAAAGCACAGCTTCCCACTATGGTTTTGCAAAAGTTATCTTCCACTTCCCCTTCCACTCTTAGCAGCTACCCCACTCTTCCCCACCCCCCTCTCCTTCTCACACCAACAGCACTGCGCATCGTTGACACACAGACAGGTGGCATGGCAGAGCCAGCAGCAGCAGCAGCAGCAGCGCTGGATATGTATGTGATTTTGGATGGCTTTCAGCCGATGCCGGGCATGAGAACTGTGAATCATCTTGTAATCCTATTTCTCTTCCCCCATCCGTTGCTACTGATCACGCTTGTCCCTGTTTGCGCCTTCGCCTCCTCGCGTTCATACACTCGAAGCCGTCGAACCCACTTTGAACTTATAGTTCTTTTCCTTCTTACTATTTATTCACATGTGGACCTCCCTGTCTCATCTTCTTCTCCTCTGCCCATCATCACTCCCATCTCCTTCCCCACAAACCTAAACAAGCACCATATCGTAACCCCCTCCTTCCCTCCCACATCACCTACACCAGGACATTCCGCTCTCCCTCAGTTCCCACCTCCATTCCCCAATTGCGCTCCTGTGATACTCTTGCATATGTCCCCTTGGTTGGTCTCGCTGCCTCTTCCCCTCCTTTCCCCCCATCTCCCCCTTCTCATCTCCCCCTTCCCCATTGGTGGCTGACTGATGGTGGCAGCACAGAGGCGCCACGATCCGATCGACTTTTGACAATCTCTTTTCCTGCACTCACATCCCTGCCTTCCCTTCCCCTGCCGTCCCCATATCCCCCTTCACTGGTGTCACTGAATAAAGGTCGTGCGGTGTTGGTCAGGGCTTGGACAGAATCAAGTTGTCTGGATGTAAGCACTGCATATCGTAAGCTCTTCAACTCATGATCAACATTCTCATTTGTGAGTTGAACGAGCAGCCATGCTTTGTGTGTCCTGTTGGGCCATGAAAGGATGGTGTTGGGCCAGATGTGCATGCCCACCTCATTGCACAATGATCTCACACCTTATCCCATGCCTCATCCCAAGCCTTATGCGGTACCTGGACCGTAATTTAACCTAGCCATACTGCACCCTCTACATACCTCCTTCCATTCTACCCCCTCTGCACGGTCGTTTCTGAATCACTTCCACTTCCCTCAGTCCCCTTTCTTTCTTGTGTGCCCCCTCACTCATGCCTGCCCTTTACGCAGGCACAGCATACTCCCCCTCGAGCTCACAGGGGTACAGGATGGCTGCCGCGAAACAGGAGAATTGAGTCACCAGTTAATAATCAGGGCGGAAGCATTAAGAGGGTGGAGCGTGGGGCTGCAGTTAGGAGGTGCAACTGTGGCAGCTTCTCTCTTTACCTGATGGAGTTGAGGTTCTTCCAGTGCATCAGCAATGCGTCCTGTGTCAGACCAACGGACCGGGAGAGCTGTGGGGACAAATAGCAACCTTAATGGAGGGAGATTTGTTTGCAATGCATAGCGAGAGCATTAAGTGAGAATTGTTTAATTGTCTCCTACCACAGGCCGCTTGCATTCCATGGGGTGATGTATTCTCAGCCCTCCATCCATCCCATCCAACAGATCTTGCACTGCTGCCTATCATATCTGACAAAATATCATCCGGCAATGCTGCACATGTCATTCGATACTTCTGAGAATTCGATTTCTGACAACATATTCAAACTTGCACCCAAAATCAGGACAGCAAGAGTGTTGGAGCATACCCACATGAAACAGCTCACCATTAACCCCAACACTAGGCATTGCCTGTGTGGTTTAGTTCTATATTATACAACATATCAGTCTGAGGTCAAGGCATGCATTCACAACACTTCAGTCTGGTATTCTTCTGTTCACTGGCAAAAACGGACCAACCCATTAGCTTGCACAGGTACCACCACTCAATCCACTCCTTGCCTAGCCTACACTACTGCCACTGCTGCTGCCACTGCTGATACCACTGCAGCCGCCCACCACGCTCGCCTCCGTCACTGCGCTCTTGCCCGCCCTTGTCTCCAGATTTCCCACCTCGCCTCCCCTTTCCTACCTGCTCCACCTCGCCTCCTCCTTCCCCTTTCCCTTCCCCTTCCCCTTCCCCTTCCCCTTCCCCTTCCCCTTCCCCATCGGCCCTGCTTCTGACCGGTTTCTTTCAATAAAAAGCAATGTCAGACAGGCACGTCATAGGCAGCTCTCCCCTAATGCACATGCTGGTCTGAGGTCCAAACAGCCCTGCACTTGCTTCTGTCCTACTGCAACGCACGACACACTTGACCATTCTCCAACTCTCTGCAGCGTGCAAGTTGAGCCGTGCACAACCACCATTCCATGCCTCACTCCTCCGCATACATGCCTCCCTTCGTTCACTAATAGACACTCAGTCCGCTATCCCCACATTTCACACCTCTTGCCTCCACTCCTATCCTCCGTCTCCCCTAGACAGTCATACCCAACTCTTCCCTCGCCCCACCTCTCGTTCCATCATCACTCCTTGCCACCTTTTCTGTCTAATCGCCTTCGTACCTCCCTGCCATTGTCCTTAATCCACATTCCTTCTGGCGGCCAGAGAGTTGTCAGCTTGGTCAGGGCAGTCAGCTGCTGCAGCCCATCATCCGTGACTGCCGTGGAATCTAGACCAAGGTTCTCAAGCCCTGTCAGCCTCCCCACATGCACCATACCATCATCTGTCACGCCCTTGCATTCAGAAAGCCACAACAGTTTGAGAGAGGGCAGAGCTGTCAAGTGTGGCAGACCAGCATCGGTCACATTGGTCTTCCAGAGATAGAGTTTCTCGAGACTGGTCAAGGACCCAATGCCTTCCAGAGCACAGTTTGAGACACCTGTGCTTCTGAGGCTTAGCAGCTCCAGCCGTGGCAGCCTGTAGAGGTGCTTGATGCCCTCTGCACTGAAGCCTGAGCTAGAATCCAAGATAATGCTCTTCATGTGCGTCATTGTAGACACATGGCCGAGCATGGCGTCTGAGAGGCCGTGGAGATTATTAAGGTCCAAGTGGGTCTTCAGCTCAATAGTCTTCTGTGATGCTGACTTTATTTTCTGGAGGAAGTAGGTCAAGAGGGAAAACACAAGGGGAATGGCAGACCACAAATCTCACTCAGCACTCACCTGCCAAGCTGTCTTTTGGTCGCCGACACTCTGCCAAAACTAGCTACGGAAACAAGAAATATCACTCACCTTCAATGCATTCTGCGAATCACCTTCACTCTCCCTGGTTTCCACCACAGAAATCAGCTTCAGACCTTGTATCATCTTCAAGTAATGCATGCCCTGATCAGCATTACTCACCTGCCATGCAGTCTTCTGGTGGCCGAAACTCCGACTGATTTCCACGTCTATATTCATCCTCGGATCTTGTGCCATTTGCAGGTTCCTGCAGGTTGCCAATCCCTCCACGGCATGTGACTGATTGAACTCCTGTACCTCCCTCGTCCTCTCCTCTTCTCGTGCAAACTCTGCTGGCGTTTCTTGCATTCTCTTTCTACCCGTCACTCTCAGCCCCCGTACATCCCATGGTCTGCTACTCTCAGCCCATTGCTCTGCCATGGCCTCCTGATGTTCCGCCAACTTCCCCTTCACAATCGCCAATTCACCCTTAACCGCTGCCAACTCCCTTTCACCGCCTCCAACCCCCCCTTTACTGCAGCCAACTCTCTCTCCCTCTCATTCAACACAGCAGCGGCCGCCTCATTCCTCTCCTCCATAACAGTCAATATGTCCCGCAATTCATCCACCTCCTCCTTGTGTGCAGCCAGCTCCTCTCTCAATGCTGCCAGCACCGCCTCTTTCACCACCGTAATCAGTGGGTCCGTTGCTCTCTCAGCAGCCATAGAATCCACTGGACTGGACTCTCCTGAAACCACTCTTTTTGAATGACTGACCTGAGGTTATATGGCAGTGGAGCAAGCAGAGGCGAGGGGCAGAGGAGACCAGACAAACGAAACTATTGCAGAAGGGTGGAAATGAATGCAAATGGTGAGGTGACAGGTAGGGACTTGCAGACTCCGACTGCGTAAGGTCAGTGACATGAAGTGGTTCACTCCACTTCATGAGCCATGAGGGGACACGAATAGTGGGAGGATAAAGTAGACGTCTTCACAAGTGGAGACTAGCTGAAGGAGAGAAACGGAAGCCCAAGAGCAAACGAACGATTGAGAGGAACCGGAGAAGACAGGCAATGGAGAAGGTGACAAGGTTGGAGAGGTACACATGGAGGGCTGGTTCGAAGGTGGAGTAACATCAATCAGACAAATTAAGTGGGCTGCATTAGCAGAGTAGAAAAAAGGTCCCAGACAGTGGGTGGTAGCAGCAAAGTGGTTTTTAAAAATGCAACTGTAGAGCGAGGCGAGACGAAAGGAGGAAAGGAAAGAAAGAGGGATTTAGAGAAGCAAAGATAGAAGGCTCCACTTCATGTCGGAACCCGATTGTATGTAATATGTCAAGAGATGCAGGTAGGTTGCTTGCACCAGACCTTGACACTTGCACCATACCGTGCAAGTAGGTGGGGGCCGTAAAATGTGAACCAGCAGGAAAAGGTCAGAACGGAAGCCAGGAGGAGGAACAGAGCATGGTAGGATGCATGAGGAGTGGAGCAGCAATGATGACGAGGCAAAGAGCTGAACCAGGCACAAAGGGGCCCTGGCTGGCAGCTCTACTCCTTACTGGAGACAAAATATGGATGAAAGCCAGAGTCGCGCATTCAGGGGAAGCCGGAGCGAGCATACAATGAGGGAAGTTGAAAGAATAGGGCACGGGAACTATGTTGCACTATACGCTTTTGAAATTTAACGTATCGCGTATATGCGTTCACGTATAAACGGGAAAACGTGAAACGGGGACAAATACGCGATACGTGAATTCGGGCAGGGCAAAAAAAATTCCCAAAAAAAAAATAAAGTTCGCGCTTTTTCCTTACGCACGTATTCCGACATTTCGGGTCGCGTTTTTCCAACCTGTGGACGTGCAAAACCGAATCGCCACGTTCACCCCACGAAACTCAACAATGCCCAATCACCCCCAACAACTCGTGACCAACCAGAGCACGTCCCCCACCCCACAACCAATTCGTGGTAGGTATAATTGACCCCACCACAACACATCTCTCATTCCTGTTCAGTTCAGTGTTGAGCTATGTCTACTCCAGTCCCTTCTAACCACACTCAGCCTTCTGGTCCGTCTACTCAGCATACCGATCCTTCTGCCTCGACTTCGGAGGCGCAATGGCTGGAGGAGGATAGTACGCATGTCGTCTTCAAGCATTTCAAGGTTCCCATCCGTCCCGACAGCATTTCAAAAAACCAACTGCACAAGGTCAAAATGAACATAGGCAGCGTGACTCACCCCCCCATACTTTTTTTCCCTGCCCGGAACTTTTTTTAACCTGCCCGGGCGACCGTATTTCGAGCGTATCGTGGGGCTGAAATCGCCCGTATCACGTACGTACGTGAGCGTACAGTACGTACGCGACTGGTACGTGAAACGCGTATTTTGCAACATAACACGGGAAAAGAGAATTTGTAGCCACAAGCTAGGTCACTCACAGATTAGGTCAGTCGGTTAGCTATGACAGTCACATGCTAGGTCAGTCTTAAGTTGAACCAGTCAGAGATCCAGTCAGTCAGAGGCTATGTCATTTACAGGTTAAGGCACTCACAGGATAAGACAACCGCAAACAGAGACAATCACAATTTAGGCCCTTTCATGGAATAGGTCGGTCTCAAGCTGGGTCAAGCACAAGCAAGGTCTGACACAAATCAGGTCAGTATTAGGCAAGAATGGACATGTTAGGTCACTTACAAACTAGGCCGGTCACGCACAAGCTAGGTTAGTAGGCATAGGCTGGGTCACTCACGATGACCTCGGACGGCCAGTCATATGCAATGCAAGGCTACCCACAGGCCAGCCAGGTTAGATGCGATCAGCGAGTCACGTTTTGACTCGACTTTCCCAATCCAATTGTGTCAAGTGGAGTCAGTCCAATGTTCTCTTTGAACCGAAACGAGTAGAGTCGAGTCGGCTCCGCATTGCCTGACTGGAATTGAGTCAGCAATGTCTCATCAAGTCGGTGACCTGACAAGATTCGGTTAGCTCGTTGCTAGTCGAGTAGGTTGTCGCGACCCAAGCACTTACCTTGGGTACATGCCATGCCACCAGCAAAGGACCCACATGTGCCCATCTATTGCGAACGAACAGCCACATTATCAAGTCGAGTGAGGGCCGACTCGACCCGACATTTGACTCCTGATTGACTCGATGTTGACTCGACTCATCCCTGTGCTGTGCACATGTCTAGGCTGCCAGGCACAAGCTAGGTCAGCCATGAGCTAGGTCAGCCATGAGCTAGGTCTATTACCAGGTATTTCAGTCACAGGCTAGGTCACACAAGATAGGTCACACAAAGATAGGTCACACAAGATAGGCCAATCACGGGCAAGATCAGTCGCAAGTTGTGTTCAGTCACCACCTTGGTTGGTCACGGTCTGAGGTGGGACACAGGCTAGTTCGTCAGATCCTGGGTAAGTGACAGCGTGAGTATCTGAACCAGGGCGAGTGAACACACCAAGGGAAGGGGCCGCGGCACCAATGCTACGAGGGGCAAGCATGGGGCAAGCATGCGTCAAGGGTCTTTGCTAGTGTCTAGGCAATGTGCAGAATTCGCCACGAATTTTGGTATGTGACGAAAAGCTGCACATTGGGCCCTCTGACAGGATTACGAGCACCTTGGTTCGTAGGCTCTGAGCCTCATGCTTGCAATGCGGATGGCCGACCGGAGTGGGAGGCTTACCTCTGACTAGGGTTTCTGAGACTGTCGTGTTCGTACGGCTCGAAGTGACTAGCAGCGGCGGGTAAGTCGATCTGCAGTGCGTGGTGCGTGATTGCGAGAGACTCCCGCGAATTCCGAGAGTTTTGCGAGGGACTCCCTACGAATTCCGAGAGCACGACGCGCGCGAAAGACGTGTAGTACTACGAATGGGCGAGAGAACGGCGTCGTCGTTCGTACTGGTTCCGTGGAGGCGATTGGAGTCACCTCTTCTTGCCATGGAAGAATGCGCTCTTACGATCTAGCTGTTTGTGCAGAACGACTACTATGTCGAAAGTTCTGCTAGTACCGCACCCCAGAGAAGTGGAGGGCGAAATCGACGAGAAAGATTTGCGATACCCGACGAATGGGCTTTCGTGCATTGAGCAAGGCAACCTGGAAACAGCATTGATGACGAAAAGAGAAGAGCCTGATCATTGCGATGAAATGTGAAGTCACGAGAAAATTCGGAACGCGGATTCAGGTTACACGTGCTGGCGAAGACAGTTCAACTTGAACGAAATCGCGCATCCAGATCCAACCCCACGGCTCCTTTCCCTCACGCCCATCCCTTTCACGCCTCTTACCTGCCCATCTTGCTGGGCGTTTCTCACGCCTCCGCTTTCGCCTCCAGCTGCCATGCTCGCTCCATGCCTCCCCTCACCCGTCTCACAGCATCCCGCACATCAGAGCCGAATTCGCGATCTAAACCGCCGGAATAATTTTGCGTCCTCAGCCTCACGATGCCGCGACACGGTGCTCCTCAGCGCAAGCACGCACCGGCGACATTAAATTTCGTGCGCAATTTATCTAGGGTTTTCACCTTGTTTTGATGCAATATTAGTTGAATTGTCGCCATTTTAATGCAATCACCAAGACCGTTCTGCAGCCTCCGCTCGTAATTCCAACTTTTGCCATAGTCGCGCGCAATTTTCGAATCGCACCCTATAGCGAAAGCAGCGACTCCTGCCAATTCTTTCCACAGCTTCATGATGGCGCGACAAGCACGTGCGGCGATATTCCCGCCACCAGAGTCGCTCTTCGCTGCGCTCGCGATTGCGAACGCCAGAGTCGCGTGAACAGCCATCATGGGCGAACGCCGAACGGGATAACTCCAGGTGGCGGGTAGATTCTTCACGTTTGATGGCTGAGTCTGACGCAACGCCCGCATGGTTGTGTGAACGCGACCTCGCGAAGGCGTGAATGCAACCAAAGATCGTGAAGGATGCATGGACGGCTGGCGCAGCGCGAGTAATGCATGAGGTAGTACCGCCTGTCAGCTCTCGTTCATCCTCGCCCCTCCTCTGCCTCTTTCGCTCGCTCGTTGCCCCTCTTAATTCAAACCCAGCGACTAGTATCTTGTTTATCCACCCAGGCACCCGGGCTTCGGTTACCAGATCCCCCCTCACCTAGGTCAGTTGTATTTCCTCTCCAATTCGACTTCCTTCTCATAACCTTTTTACGCTGCGGAGCTGTCAATCTATCTGCCGAGAGAGCGTAGTTCCCAACGGCCACCTTGCTGCTGCCGTCTGCCTCACCTGCCACC